AAAAAAAAAAAAAAAAAAAAAAAACCTCAGGACCAGCCAACATTATCTTTGATGATTCTGGTCTCCCACTGGCTTCTTTCGTCCCTCTGCTCCATCTCGCTCATCTCAGGTTCCACCTGCTATTTAAAAAGGAACCATCCCCTGGTGAAAGGCAAGAGTGTAGTCTGTCATGGAAGCAATGACACCCCCCCATGCTCTCATCCATCCAGTCTTTAATGTGAGCACAAACAGTTATGCCTGCTGGAATTTTGTAAAGTTCTTAGGCATTGTTTTCCCTTGCTTCATCTTTTAGATCCTTTGTTACATGCTCCTAAATTTTGTCCTTGATGTATCCACAAGTTAAATCAAAACCCACAATTTTGGCTCCCAAACCTGCTCTTGACTTATACATGAAATCGACTTAGGGCCTTGCCATCTTGGAGGCAGGGAAGGGGAGAGACAGCCACACGCTGGGTGCCCCAATGCCTTCCCAAGGACGTCATCACGGTGCGCGCCATTACGCACAGCATGTGCCATCAACACATCCTCCCGGTGCAGCATCTTAACGCGCTGCACCGGAAGGGAAGCAGAAGAGCCGCACGGCGTCTCTTCGGGTGCCCTTTTGCCGTATCTGGAAGGAGAGGCATTTTGACGCTCCTTTCAGGACCGACAAAAGGGTGGATTGGGGCCGAGGCGTGGGACAACCTCGGCCCCAATCCTCCGCTTCCCAGGGTGACCCAGGGCCGCCCGTCTGCATCCCCCCTTAGTCAAGTATATATATTTCTACGCTGGCAGTATGTTGGGTATTAGATAACAAGCTTCATCAAGAAAGTACTGTCTTACCACACATAGGAGTTCTGGTTCTCAGTGATTATTTGACAGTGGCAGCCTAGATGTGGACCAGCTTTGGTGAGAGCAAAAAGTCTGGTGCTAAACCGCTCAAAAAGCTGCTATTTTATACCCTCTCCACCCTCTGTTTAGCCAGTCAGTTAAAAAATCTCTCTCTCACACACACTGTTATTCAATCAAAAAAGAGATCTTAGCCATATTATTCAATGGTTGGAGTATGGTTGGAGTCTTTGGCTGTTTGCCACCCAGATTTCACCTGCAAGGAAGTTTACCCTCAGTTAAATCCTCTGTGTGATTTGCTATAAGCCAGTTAGTTATTTCCATTTTCTCACAAGCTTTCAAATTTCTCTCTATTTATAATTAGATTAGCTCCAGGCCCAGAGTTAGCATGCGATTTTCATAATATACTATCTAATACACATCTGATACAGCTTCAAGAAGTTAAATTAGGCAAACAGAATTCTGAAAACCATCACAATCTGTTACATTTTCACCACGAATGGTAAAGCTTCCAAAATGAGAACAATTCCCTTCCAATCTGGAGTACATTTGCCAAAGTGGGAGTGGGGGTGGGGATCGTAACTGGATGAACTGAAGTCTGTGAAAGCTAAAATATGTAACTCTTTTCATTTTTTTGCCATAGCCACCAACAGCCAAAATGCATGCAATCATAGAACGGACTGCAAATTTCGTCTGCAAGCAGGGGGCCCAGTTTGAGATTATGCTGAAAGCAAAACAAGCTCGAAACTCTCAGTTTGATTTTCTGCGTTTTGACCACTACCTCAACCCCTACTACAAATTTATTCAGAAAGCTATGAAAGAGGGGAGATATGCTACACCTGCAGAAAAAAAGAAAGATGAGAAAAAAAGTAAGCTATTTTTTTTTAAAAAAAAAGATACACAGCAGTTGCTTTGTTTCTGTCAAAACCATTCTTGCTTCTGATAGTAGAGAGAATTGTTCTCTAATTCCTGTTGCAGATGTTATGAGGCTACAGAGCTTGCTGGCATATCATTAAGCAAAGTTTATATATGTTAGAAGGATGGCCTCTCGGGATAGCTTAACTTTTGACACCATTTAGTGAAGTTATTTTTTTTAATTGCTTTTGAAAAAACCTAGCGTTACTGTACCTCTTTGATATGGCTTCCCAAAATTATATACTTGGCTGGTTTTGAGTGATCATTGATCTTGACTTTACTGACTAAAGCTTTCTCCACTGATTTGCTGCACAATTCTATTAGAAAACACTGTGTATAAGAAAATCACTTCAGCTGTGCCATAGACTCATTTCATCTTCACTGGACAGGGACTACAAGTATAGATGTGCAAATTTTGCAGTGTCTGTTCACTGAATCAAACATGTAATATCTGAATGAGCTTCCTTATACTGTGTGTGTATTCCAGTACATGTATTTTGAAAGAATGGTCTGCATTTTACACTAGCTTTTTGTGTGCACATGTACTTCCTATTTATTCCACAGTTCCTTACCTTGTGAAGGGGTTTTCCCCTTCATAATTTGAAGGCTAGTATTATTTATTTATTTATTTATTTATTTTTGCCTTTCTCCTAGAAAGGGACCCAAGGTGCCTGACAGATAAAATCATTTAAAAGATTTTACAATAAAAAGTGTTAAAACAATTTAAAAAGATTTAACAGTTAGCTAGAGTCTGTAATTCAAACACAGAAATAAGTCCACTTGAGTTCAGTATAGTAATATTATGATTCTCTCATGTGGCTGTGTTTGTAATACTTTTTACAGTTTTGGTTACACCACTACTAAAAAAGGACAAGGTAGTCCTTGAAAAGGTACAGAAAGGGCAACAAAAAGTATTAAATATTTGGAGACTTTTGCCTACAGTGCTTACTTGTGGACTTTCTTATTAGGGACAGAAGGAGAAGTGGTATTGCAGAGGTATGAAAGACGTCTATAAATTATGAATGGTATAGAGCAGGGGTAGGCAACCTTTTTGAGACCTGGGCCGGTCCCCCGAAGTCCTGGTCTCCACTGGGCCGAGGGGGGGAATGGTGGCGTCGCTGCCACCACCGCAGTGCGCACGGCCACAGCCGCTGCCGCGCATGTCGTGGCCGCCATTTTGATTTCCAAAATGGTGGCCATGGTGCGTGCGGCTGCACGGAGGCCAAAACGTGTGGCGGCGGCGGCGGCAGGGGTCCGCCTGGGCCGGTAAGTCCAACGACCTGGGCCGAAACCGGCCCGGGTGCCGTAGGTTGCTGGCCCCTGGTATAGATACTAGATTCTTTTTTCTGTTCCTCATCCAATAAAATGTATTGACATTAGATACAGGAGAGGTTCATTTTTTCAGGGTAACTTAATTTGTAAAACTCCTGACCGTTACAATCGACATAGGCATATTGTGTTGGATAAACCTGTCATAGGTTTTGTGGTTGTTGTTGTTGTTGGGTTTTGTTTGTTTGTTTGTTGCAAGATTTGTTTAGAAGTTGTTTGCTCTTTTCCCCTTCTGAGCCTGAGAGAGTGTAACTTGATCAATGTCACCTAGTGGATTTACATGGCCAAGTGGGGATTTGAACCCTGGTCTCCAGAGTTGTAGTCCAGTGCTCAAACCTCTACAGCCCGCTGGCTCTTCAATATAGGCATAGCTGGCTTTAAGAATGCTGGGAATTATACTCCAGCAACATAGGGAAGGATGAATTTTGCACCATTGAGACAAATCTTTGATTCATGTGAAAGAGGGTTCTTCTATCTGAAGTAAACATAGGTGTTTGAGTCCAGTATGTCCCCATTCAACACCCAATCTGCTGATATTGGAGAATGCTGCTTTGGATATATCAACTGCAGACTCTTAGTGTTTTACTGTCATTGTTTTATGCTCAGAATTTACCCTAAATCAGCTGTTTTTTGGAACTGATTCTTCCTTTCTGTCCTTTTGTATCATAAAGAGCTGATAACATAGGAAAATAAACAATGAGTCTAGTTTGACAGAAGGCAGTATACTTCAGGCTTCTCAAAACCCAAACTTGTCCCATTTTTAGTAGCTCTAATATCTGTTTTCTAGAGTTAAGTGAAGCCATTACAGATATCTTTTTTATTGAACTGTTGTAGGAATTGGGGTAAAAGTAGAAAATAGTGTTGAAACTTTTGCTGATGGCATAGAGTTTCTTTAGATACAAGATCATTTCAGCATCCTCTAACATTCTGGAAGTTACAATGCAATGTAATAATGCCTGCTTTGTAATGTAAACATCTGTAATTACTTTTTATTCCTGCATAATCAATCCAAAGCATGAACTGGAAAGCTTCAGACCTGAGGCCAAGGAATGTGTTTAATCTTAATTGCTTGACCTATAAATCTCCTTAGTCATTGATGCATAAAAAATTGATCTATTCAAAAATTCTGGAAGTCATTCCTTTCCATGTCACTCTGAAAGGGAAAAAATATAACCATGCCATTTTCCATAGATGCAAGAGAGGAAGCTGATGAAGATGATGCTGATGATGATGCTGATAATGATAACTACCTGCATCCAAGCCTCTTTGCATCTAAAAAGCGCAATAGACTTGAAGAGCTTATGAAGGTATTTAGCCATACAAAGATACATGTCAAGAGTTGTGTATAATGCTGTGTGCTATCCTTTTTTTTTTTAAAGAACATCTCAGCTGCTGGGATTCAGAAAGCGAGAGGCTCCATAAACATCCTGTAGGATTTTTACTTTTTCCTGGGATTGGCAGACCACTGCCATCACAAACAAAAAAATATAACAATTTCTCACATTCCCAAGTGGTTTTCCCTGTAGCTTGAGCAATGCTGTTTAAGAAACTTAAGTCCCAAAGCATGCTGCAGATTGTGAAATTAACTGTGGTTTTAAAAATCTTGGCCAGTATTTCTTCACTGCCATCAGAAACTGGTTCATTAAAATTACATTTTGGTGATTCATGTCATCACAGAGCACAAGACCAAAGAGAAGAGGCTTGTTAATTTAACTGACTCAGGGCCGAAACAGACGGCCTGGTAAAGCTGCCTTCCAGGCAGCTTGGGAGCATGGCATTTACACACCGCAAGCCCCCAAGATGTCCAGAAACCACTCTGGCCAATTACACCGAGGTGGCTTCGAAGCCACCCTGGAGCCTTGGCAGGGACACCAAAGGCAGCCCTTTACCAGCCCAAATAAGAGTGGATTTTTTCCACTTCTATTTGGGCCATCATCAGGGCGGATTGGAGCTGTGGTGTGTGATTGCCACAGCCCTGGGGCAACCAGTTCTGGGCAGCCTCAGTCCGCCCTTTTTGGGCCATCTGTTTCAGCCCTCGGTTAAGAAAACTACGTTGAATCATCTACTGTAAATAAGATGCATACGTATACAGAGTTCACATGTAACTTGTCTTTACAAAGCAAATTTGATCTTCATTGGATTATGGATGTAAGTAACAGACTTTGTCATACAGCTGTGCTGTTTCTAGGGTACCTGTGTTGCTGTGTGTCTTCAAGTTGTTGTGTGCCTTCAAGTGCCCTATCATGGGGTTTTCAAATTCTGCTCTCCAGAGTAATAGCCGAATGCTCAAACCACTGGCTCTTTCCTATAGTAGACCTGGATCTAATTTTAAAAGCAAATGATTTGGGATTCAGTTTAAATCAATGGTTATCCTTAGGCAGTTAAAACCACAGTTGGCCTTGATGTTTGGGCATCTGTAGTAGATAGATTGTAAGTAGCCATGTTGGTTTTTTCAGGGGCAAGGAGGAAACCAGTAACAAGACATTGCTTATTAGGATGAACGAACCAATGAATGAACAGACTTTTTTCTTCAGCTAGGTTTTAAGCAATTAAAAAAAAAATAAAAACAGCATATTGAATCGTCTTCAGATGGAATTGGCCAGATGTTACTGCCATTTCCCATTTTTCTCTTGCATATTAGGCTTCTTGCATTTGTCCTCACCCAAACATTTTTTCTCTCCCGCCCATTTAATTAACAAGATGCTTCACTGGTCCATCCTGTTTATGAGTTTTAATTAAATTGAAACCATTTGATCTTTTTTACATTTTGATCATTTAAATTGGCTTCCATAAAGGTGTTACTGTTGCCTTTGTTATATTTGTTTATATTTGTATAAAGCTTCCCAGGGTTATATTTGTATAAAGCTCCCAAGAGGTAAACATATTATATATATTGCTTCAAAATGCCCTAGAATGACATCTGGTTTTGTGGAAAGCATTTTCGCCACGTTTAGAGAACCCCTGGGCCAATTATGGCCTAGGAGAGGGCTTTTTTGAAACAAAAACTGGACAGGAAGTTACTTTTGCTCACTTCCTAGGTCTGAAGTTTCCCAAGTAGGACCAAAAACATAGTAAGAATGCTCCTTATGTTTTCCGGAATGTTTTTGAGGGCATTTTGTGGCAAAAAGAAATTTATGGGGAGGGGGGGAAGAGCAGGTTCAGTAGGACCCTCCCCCCCCCAGAGATCTTGGAGGGTTTCACACACTCCTTGCCATCCATGGTTGCCCATCTCCTGTTCTAAAACATAAGTGGGATGTGCCACACAAGATAGGCAAAACATTTTAAAGTGCTGCATTTATGAGGAGGAGTAGTTTAGTTTTGCAGCTCTTGTCCCTAATTCATAGCAATCTCATCTCTACAAAGAGTTTTGGAATCTGGTTAGAGATTTGTTGTTGTGTGCCGTTGGGTTGTCTCTGACTTATGGTGACCCTAAGTTGAACCTATCATGAGGTTTTCTGGGGCTCAGAGTGTGTGACTTCCCAAGGTCACCCAGTGGGTTTAAATGGCCGTGCGGGGAATCAAACCCCAATCTCCAGAGTTGTAGTGCAATGCTCAAACCACTATGCCATGCTTTCTCTCCCAGTTACAGATATATAAATTTAAACTACCCTACAGTCTCTTTGAACACAGAGTTAATAAACTGAGACTAAGAGGTCTGCTGTGTGACAAGGAATGAAAATCAGATGTCTGTGTCTATTTTTCCCCTTGCAGCCTTTAAAGGTGGTGGATCCTGATCACCCGCTGGCAGTGCTTGTTCGCAAGGCACAGGCCGACAATAACTTGGCTGCTCCTCAACCAGCTGAGGGAACAGCTGTTCCATCCTCACAAGTAGAATATTCTTCAGACTGTAAGTATATTGTGATAAACGGATTAAGAATGTGAGAAGATTTCTGTTTATTAACAGGACCTGGAAGGATTACTGTTAATCTCTAGTATTTAGTAGAAGTGCCACTTCTTGCTTGATTGTATATTTGCTCAGTAGTTTTTCTTTCATAATTCGTTTGATGCAACTGGAAGGTTTGGAAAACAAATTAGAATTGTGCTTATTTATTTACCACACATTGCTTGGGGTTGTGTGTCAAAGACCTGACTTCTTTTTTACAAAACAATCATGGGTGCCCAGTGCTCATAAGATCAAATCCAGTACTGCCTTTGAGGATACCAGTAATTTGTACTTGGGAACTCTCCCCTGGAGATTGAAAGCGACTTCGGTTTTTATCTGTATTGTAACACATGTAGAGATCTAGGAGGAAATAAGTAAAGTCATGGTTATTAATCTGATTAGTGAAAGACAAAATGCTGACAGTAATATTTGATAGAATGCTGAGACAATTTTAGAGAGTCTCCGAGGCATGAAAGTGTATTTGGCTCTGAAGCTTTTGTAGAACTTCTCCTTCTCTGCAGCAGCTCCCTCCCACTTCCATTTCAATTGAGCAGAGAGTAAAAATTACATTATTCAATTAGGCTTTTTGCATTTAAGATTGATTTTTTAAACATGACTTTTAAAATGGTTTGTTGTTGTTAATATTATATTTATTTATATACCTCCATTTTCCAGTTAGAGACTTAAGGCAGTAATAACAACATACATCTGTAAAAATTTATAGTATAAAAAGTTTGTAAAGTAATCAACTTATCAAAAGATTAGAAACAATTAGACACACCAGCTATTAAAAAACAACAAATAAAAAACAGCTACTACATTATGTAAGGCCTGTTTCCCCCTTAAAGTTCATTTCTCAAAGGCCTGCCTTGCTCTCTTTCCTGCCTTCAGAAAGATAGCAAGAAGGGTGCTAATCTAACCTCTCTGAGAAGGGACTTCCAGAGCCTGGGTGCAGCCACAAAGAAGGCTCAATGTTCCCACCAGATGTGAGGGTGGTGAGACAGAGAGCAGGGCCTTCCCAGAAGATTCCCAGAAGATCTGAAGTGTGGTCAGATTCGTATGGGAAAATGCAGTCCTTCAAATAACCTGGACCTGAGCCAACTGGGGCTTTATAAGTCATAACCCAAACTTTGAATTGTGCCTGAAAACAGACTGACAGGTAGTAGAGCTGTTGCAACAAATAGTTAGTGTATCTCCTGTTAACAATTTGGCTGCAACTCTTTGAACCAACTCTCTTAAATGATAGCTCCACATAGGATGCATTACAGTAATCCAGATGGGATGTAATTAAGCCATGTGTTACTGTGGCCAGGCCTGACATCTCAATGGGTGCAGCTGGTACACATTACAAATGGAGGTAAAGCTTTGGGAAGAAGAGCAGCTTATCTGTCTGACTTTCCCAGTAGCCTTTTCTGAAGTCACCATGAATGGAAACGAAGCCAGATTATTTGAGGAAGCACGTTTTTGAGC